TGTTCATTAATGTGCACTGTCCTGATTGAATAAATAAATAAATAAATGTGTCCCACCTGTGTGGTAGCCGCTGGACAGCTCCTGGATGAAGCCGTGGGCGCTGGCCATGCGGGCGGCCCGGTAAACCTCCTCATCGGTCGCGTTCTCGTAGCCGTAGGTGATGTTTTCCCTTACGGAGCGGGCGAACAGCACGCACTCCTGGCTCACCACGGCAATCTGGCAGAAAACAGAAGGGAGAGGGAAGGTTTGTCACGAGGACAGAAGTGGAACGGAGTGGGAAAAATGTCTGAGAGGAACAAAAGTACAGTAGAACCTCTACATACGAATTTAATTTGTTCCTGGACCGACTTTGAATGTTAAAATATTCGTATGTTGGTTCAAATACTCCCATCAGAATACACTGTAATTCCTATGATTGGTTCCAAAAACCTACGATAACTCCTTAATAAATACTGCAGATAATTACACATAGCAATAAAACAAATGCATTATAAAAGAGAGATGTAAAAAGAAATAAATTATAAAGAAATAAGCAGTAAAAAGGAGTTTTTATTGGCACTTATTGGCGAATGGAGGTAGACGTGGAGACTGAGATACAGGACGAACACTAACTTACTTTAACTCTTTAACTTGTACTCTAACTTTCACTATATGGACTTTAAACTAACTTGGCTTATTTATTTTTATATTATTTTTATACTTTTTTTCAGCTTGAAAGAGCTCCTGTGTGTGGCTGAATGTGAGCGTTGATGACTGAAAGACATAGATAGATAGATAGATAGATAGATAGATAGATAGATAGATAGATAGATAGATAGATAGATAGATAGATAGATAGATAGTTTTAATAACCTGAGCTTCACTGTGTGCCTTCCAATCATGAACAGTCACTAACTAATGTCAGTTTTAACAATAATAATATAAAGTTTGTCTCATAGAGCGCCTTTAAAAGCAGCAGTTTTAAGTCAAAATCTCCCCTTAATGACTCAAAACACCAAACCAAATCAAAGTTCAACACAAAACTGGGATAATTCTTACATCAGAACTACTTTCTTGGGCATATTTGCACGTTAAAAACATTTTTATTACCTTGAGCTTCACTGTGTGACTTCCATTCAATTAATAATATCACAAATGTCAGTTTTAATGATAATGATATACACTTTATCTTCTGCCCCCTGTTGAAGACCTCCGGCTTAGATAGTTTAAATTAAGGGAACCCTGAGGACTGAAATGAGCCCTCAGGGTTCCCTTATTTCCTTATTTCCCCCACCTGCTGGTGCAGGTAGTCGTCCCGGTAGCTGTGCAGAGGCTTCCCGTCCAATAGGATTTCCCCGGCCTGCGGCTGGTAGAACCGCTCCAGCAGTTTTACGCAGGTGGACTTCCCCGACCTGTTGAGCCCCACGAGGGCCGTGACCTGGCCCGGCTTCACCTCCAGGGACACGTCCTGGGGGGGGAGACACACACGGTAGGGCTGTAAAAAGCATCAAGACCCAAAAGTATCCGGATACGATACTCATTTTCAAAAGTATCGATAACCCTCCCAAGGCTAATGTTAGGATTTGGCTATAATTACTCACTTTAGCATTGTATGCTATCACATGATCTATGTAGATTAGTGATTGTTTTATTTTCTTTTATAACTATATTTTGTGTTAAAGTCTCTGGCAGTGTCCACAGACTCTCCTTACTCTCTTTTTCACAAACAACATACAAAAATCAATCAGGCACGTAGTATGTTTGGGGTCTTTGTTTTATCCTTGTTGTATTGAAAATATTCCTTTTTCGATTTTTCCTGAGTATCTGTATCGAGTTGAAAATGTTAGTATGGTGAGAACCCTAAAACACGGTAATAATTAGCTCAAAGGGACCAAGACGAAAAAGGACAGATACCTTTAGCACGAGCGAGTTTTCCTCCGTTTTCCCGGAGTAGGAGAACTTAACGTTCCTGAACTGGACGTGTCCGGTGAGGTGTTCCGGGGCCAGAGAACCGGAGGGGGGGGCCCGAGGTTCCCGGTCCAGGTACTCAAAGATCTTCTCAGAGGCCCCGATGGCTTTCTTCACCTCCGGGTAGTAACGCATGACAGCCTGGGGGGGTTAGGGTTAGGGTCAGGGTTAGGTTTAGGGTCAGGATTAGGGTCAGGTTTAGGACATTGTTTATCTTCTGATTTTGTATAGACAGTAAAGTATCATTTCCACCTCAGTAAGTTGCTAGTCACATGACCTAATCAAAATGGCCGACTTGGATGTTGGCGGCGGCTCACCTCCACAGCAGAAGCAAACTGGAGCTCGTAGAGGACGAAGGAAACCAGCTCGCCGCTGCTGACGGTTCCCATGGTTACCAGCGTCCCGCCGTAGTACAGGATGCACACCTTCAGGGCCAGCGTGGTCATCTGAGTCCAGACAAAAGAGCAAATGTTTGATATCACTTGATCTATCTATCTATCTATCTATCTATCTATCTATCTATCTATCTATCTATCTATCTATCTATATATAGACATATTTATTTATATATATAAAGATAGACTCCTATCCTGGTTGTACCCACTTCTTTTCTTGTGTTATTTCTAGTTTATTTTAGTTTAACGACTTTTGATTATGGTAAATTGTTAATTAAGTAAAAAATGACAACTGGTTGGATGCAACACCAGCATTCCTGTATAATACCAGTATATAGCTATAGATAGATAGATAGATAGATAGATAGATAGATAGATAGATAGATAGATAGATAGATAGATATAGATAGATATATAGATGTATGTATGTATACACAGTATATATATATGGAGAGAGAGAGAGAGATCATACACACCTAATAGTTGTAATAATACTATAATACCTGTATAAATAAAGTTAAACTCACACTGTTAGCGCAGGTGGACGCCGTGTACGTAATAGTTTTAATAATACTATCATACCTGAATAAATAAAGTTAAAGTTAAACTCACGCTGTTAGCGCAGGTGGAGGCTGCGTAGGCCGCCGCCTCCTGCTTCTTGAGGCCGTACGTGTCCTCCAGGCGCCGCCGGTATTTTTCCGTCTCGCCGTCCTCGTTGGCGAAGCTCCTCACCGTCTTCATGCAGGAGAAGGTCTCCGTGGCAACCTGGTTGGCCTTGGCCAGCGACTCCTGGACCCGGGCGGCTATCGTCTAGGACAGAGTTTTTCAACCTTTTTTGAGCCAAGGTACATTTTTTCATAGAAAAAAAATCACGAGGCACACCACCAACCAAAAATGTCAAACAAATCTGTAGCCTCCTATAGTAACACTATAGTTATTCTTATCTTATCTTAAGTGTCTTGAATAGGAATCAAATAAACACAAAAATGTATTTTTATTATATTTTATATTTCTTCTTTCAAATTGCTCTTAACATGTCCACTTCAATATACAAAATTATATACAAAATCTAGTCATAAGGAATTGCTGTGTGATGATGTGTTCAGATTGGCTCAGTAAAACGACAATTAGGTTATCACGATGCGTTCAAGTGTAACGTAAAGAAAAGGGAAATTGAGATTTTGTCGAGAAACATGAGTAATACAATTGAATATTGCTCTAATTATTTTAGAATATATAATTAAACTACCGATGCCAACATTTATTAAAAATTACATTTAATTTAAAATACAATTATTTATTTGCTAAATATTTTCCTAATCACTAAAAACATTACAATACATTAACCAACAATTGTGAAAATGTATATATTTTTTTAAACCAAAAGAAGACATTTCTTCAAAATATAGGACATTTCTTCAAATAATTTTTTCCCCACTTCCTTTCTGTCTGAGAAAAACAGACAGGACCGTGTAATGATTTGTTTTTAATCATAAGTGAAAATATATCTACCATTTCCATTTCCCATCAATTTAGATGGTGTTCAGCTCACCATTGAAGGCTAGAAAAGTTTTTGTCATGCTCACTTGTTAAGCAATAAAAGCAATACCAGTTCTGTTAAAAACATATAGTCGCATCGTCTTTCCACTAAATAACAGAAAAGGATCGATAGTGGTATCGATAACGACTCGGATCGATAAGGAGTATCGACAGAGGTCGGGACTCGAGTCACATGACTTGGACTCGAGTCGTTAAAATCACGACTTGAGACTTGACTTGAAAAAATGCTCAAAGACTCTCATGCCATTGACTTCGGACTTCACTCGACTTGAAGCTGTTTACTTGAAAAGACTTGATATTTTTTACTCAAAGTCTTAAAATTTAAAACACATTATTTATAAAGTGGCGTCATTAATTAATTTCACTCATTCCGTATCAATATGCACAGACCGTCACTATGTTTTTCCTCTCTCCTTATGGATGGATGTGTACGTAGCTGCAGCACAACCAATCAAATCAACAGGATTTGGACGTTTAAAAAAACGCGGCGAAGCTACAGAGCTCAGGGAACGAAATACGAAATAACCGCTCGAATATGCTTCCGCGAGTAATTTCTTTTGGCTACGTAGGTTATGAAATTTCAACTAAAAAACGAACTGCAACTTTTAAAACATGCAAGAAGAGAATATCGGATGGAGATGCCACGACGTCCAACTTTGTCCGGCATTTGAAGTTTCACAAAGATCGGTAGGTGGCGCTTTTCTTTTGCTGTAAGATAGTTGACTTTTGTTAAGGTGGGGACTCGAGTCACATGACATGGACTCGAGTCAGACTCGAGTCGTTAAAATCACGACTTGAGACTTGACTCGACTTTACCCGTCTTTACTTGAGACTTGACT